CTTCCTTATTACTTTAATAAGGAAGTACATTGGTACGGGGGGGTCTTGGGGGGGTCTTGGGGGGGGCTTATTTTTGGTACGGTACGATGGTACGTACAGTTGGTACAGTGGTACAGTACAGTGGTACGATTGTGGTACAGCTAGTGGTACAGTTGGTACAGTTGTGGGTACGATTGTATGGTACACTTCATATGATTGGTGGTGCATATGTTTTGGTTCTGTGGTGCGGTCACAATGTCATATGTTCAATGCACTGTGAGGCTCAGCGCACCAAGTACATCGACCAGAGGAAGGCAAACCCTTCACTTCGCATGCGGTCAGATTCATCTTTGGGACCCAGAACGACAGTGACTGCAACCCAAAGGAGACGCAGCTCACTTGAGAAACCAGAGATGTTTTGGGTTGAGCTGTCAACCTATCAGAAGGATCATCCAGAGAAGACAGTGAATGAGTCCGACATAGTTTGGGAAAATGTGGACGGCATTTGGAAGCAGGGGGTTACTTGTATGATTGAAGAATTTTGTTTCAAGGTATTGTTACTTGTTCAATTATAACTGATAACTTCGACTTATAAGAAAATATTCACATTGCGAGTCCTGGAGTCTGAGGTTAACATCACTACCGGACGTGCTGGCTACTATCGCCGAGTTGATGCACAGGAAAAGGAAGTGAACATGGAAGTGGAGGTACGTGATGGAAGCCTTGAGTTGGGGGCAGATGTGGCAAAGAAACAATTTGAGATGGCGACAAAGCTTTCAATCCAACAACAGGAGTCATCCATCGACATATCAGACTTGCCATTCTTTCAAAGAACATCATCAAATGTGTCCATCTTCATGGTTGGCAGTGGTTCTGGTTCAGCACGGGCATCGTTGCCAACAGTGCCATCAAAGCCAATGCTTCCAGACGCTGAGCCAAATCCATCGCAAGACAGTGAGAGCATCGATGAGAACACCAGCTCCAACGTCATGAGTCAAATGCAAAACATCCAAAACATCTTTGGCAGCGGGGTTGCTACAGCAGCCAGAGGGAAAGTAACTGCAAAGGCAAAGAAGCCTGCAGCTCCAGATGACAAGGACAAGAAACGAAAGCGAGAAGATCAAAAGCCTGAGGCAAAGGCTAAGGCCAAGACAAAGGCTAAAGCCAAAACAATGATTGAGACGTTGGAAACCGTGAGTGGTACATCAATTCCAAAGGGCAGAAAAACAGAGAACAACAATGATTCAGAGGTGTTCAAGGAATATGAAGAGAAGGTTGCCAAGCATCGCGATTCACTGTTTGCATCAACACCAAATACCAATGATCCTGGTATCACAGATACATTGAAATCAGCAGCCAAAGAACTACGTGAGCTTACCAACCAGATCAAGAGCAAGATCAAAAGCCTTGGACGAAGAAAAGACACAGGTGATGATCTCAAGCATGGTTTGCAAACGCTTGCTGATGAACTTGTCATCATGAACAACCTCGCGACACACTTGGTCATTGAGTGTATCAATACTCATCATGAGTGGAAATTTGCTAGAGGAATTGTCAAGCGGGCCTTCAAATGCTCCATCATCACAAGTCTCAAATTCAGCGATTGGGTAGCCTGCACCAATACTCGGCAGACTATGATTGATGCACTGGACAAGAAGGATGGCAATGAGTTCTTTTGCTTGATGGTCAGCGAGGTCACACAAAGGTTGCTAAAGTCCTTGAACACTTGCAAGGTGACCAGGCATGCAACAACAATATTTCAATATTGATCCAATAGACCTAGACATAGACATTATATAATCGTAAACAATTTTTGCTTGATTTGTAATGTTTAATTCTTGTTAAACATACAAATGATATACTATTAATATATAAGTGACCTTTTGATCAGGTTGAGCTTCTTTCCGATGCTGTTGATCCACTACGTGCATTTGTCTCCCACTTGGAGAAACAAGACTTCGTGATTGACACTTCTTTGGGATGCACTTTGAAGTCGCTGACAATTGTGCTGAAGCCGAAAGCTCATATGCCAGATGACATCAAGACTGCCATTGCATCATTGCAAACAAAAGCCGACTCAATGGTTGCCAATGCAGATTCAGGCTTAGCTGCAGTGTTTCAAGGCCTGTCCCAAGGCAAAGCTCTATTGAAACAAAGTCGGGACATTGCTGAGAAGACTTCCAAGGACATGGCGTTTCTTGACGAAGCATCAAGCACTTTGCAAAAGCTTGATGAATTTCTCAATGATCAATCTGACAGTGCATTTGACTTTACTGCTGGCTTGACCTTGGCACATACGACTGCAACATCTTTGCAGGCAGCGCAGTCAAAATCATCAAGTGAGGCGTCCAACAACTTTGTACAAGAGGGAATTAGCTGTTTGGAGACCTTCCTTGACACGGTCATTCAGCGGTACAGTAAAGCTGTTCACAGCTGGATTGGCAACATTGTCAGTAAATTCAAGAGTGCAAGTGGAGGTGCATCAGTGATCAGTGCTGCACCAACCTTCACAATTCCCGACAAGCAGTTGTTGCACATCGTTGAAGTCATTGGAACAGAAAACATCAAGAACAAGTCCCGCTGCTTCACAGCTGCCAGGGCAGCCTTAGCATCGATTTCCAATATGTTGGTGAATGAATCCAACCAGGATGCAGTTTCGATCATGAAGGCATCACGCAATTGGGACGTGTTCATGTCTGCAGGTGGCTCCTCTATGATCGCACTGAAGCTGGTGGACGACAGCTTCAAAACTCTGATGGAGTCAATCAAAGACATTTGCACTCAACAGGTTGAATCAATGGTTGATTCCGCAGCGACAAAGCATTCAACTACTTTGGCAGAGCACTTTGCACAGGCGAGCATGGTTTTTGCAAATTGCAAATTGTTATATGATGGTTATTTTATGTTTCATAAAGTTCACTAGTGTTTCACTATTGAATGTGATTTAGTTTTGAAAATAGAAACATTTCATCACATCATTTGTTGATAAGTATAGAGGCGCTTTCATATGAAACTTCAACCATCATGAACGCAGGCCTTTGCAAATGCGTTTGCACTATCCAAAGAAGATATTGCTTCAGCGCATGAAGCAATGGAGCAATTGATGTTGATCAGTGCGTCAGAGACGAACAAATCAGAGGCAACGAACTACAAGAGCATTGCCAGCCTCTATCATCTTCTTCATGCAGGCGCTTAATATGTATTTATTGTATTATGTTATTTTTATGTTGTGTGTAGTTGTGTTAGTCTCAGTATTAATTAATTTTATTGTAAAAGTTTTACTCAACAATTCATATAATTTAGATTTGATTAGGTGTTCAAAACATTGATATTAATATTGACATATTGTTACAGGTTGCATAGTTTCTCAATAGAAACATAAACATATATCAAATCACATGCCATCAGGTGCTACTTTGCAGTCAGCGCAAGCAAATTGCGATTCCAGAGAAGCAATTGCTCCATTTGTGAGCTCCTTCACGTCCTTCAAGAGGGTCTTCATTGATGGAAATGAGTCAGACGAGCTTTGGTGTACGATGGGAGGAGCATTTGGCTCATTATATTCTACCAGCGATGGTTTCAAAACCACCTTTGTGAACTGCCAGGACATGTGCACCAAGTTTGTATCTCCGATTCAATGTGAATATGAACGCATCATTGGATCTCGAAAAGGACATTATGACAAAGATGGATGCAAAATGATCAATGACTTCAATGGTTTGATCAAGACATTGCCCGAGCTGAAGGATACTACATTGGCGGAGCTCAATCGTTTCAAGAAGACTCTTGATCCGCTTGTGCAACGCATTTCAAAGTTCTGCGACAGTTCACAGGGACTTATCGTGTCTGTGCAGAAGGATGTTGAGGCCTTTGGCAACTGTTTTGATCCAGCGACATTATGCACACCTTTGTCGGAAACATGGTTGCAGTTGCAATTGAGTTTTCAACATATATGATAACTTATAAACATACATAATATAAAACTATTATATTATATTATATTATATTACATACATTGCAATCTGCTAGAACAACAACACATGATATAACTATTGTCTTTCAGCATAGTAAATAATTTGTGTTTTAATTGATGATTCATAATTCATAAGAAATATATACCATTATTTTAATTCAGTCTGTTTTTTTGTTTGTCATAACAAACTTCACTGAACTCTGTTAGTCTGTGTTAAATAAGGAACTCCGCAGCATGCACAAACACGGGCTTACGATCTTGGCTGAACAGTCAGCTGTTGCGTTGCTGGTTATCCCATCATCTCAAGCTTGGATTACATCAGGACTGACTTGCTATACAAACAATTTTTAATGTTATGGTTGATTATGTTTTTCAAGCAATTACTTGTTGAGATTTGAGATTAAATACAATATATAATACAATTTAATGATACATAACTTCAGAACATTCATTGCTTTGTGAGGACAGAAGGCATCTGGACGAATCCTCAAAATCATGGAAGATCTCATGGGATCTTGTCAAACTCAATCATTGGAGATGAACGCCACGCTTCAGGCGGCAGTGACATCCTTGATCCCTTGATTGCTTGCTTAGGCAGTTCAATTCGAGTCGCCATCGCATGCTGGCAGGACAATGTTAGTTTTGCAATGTAGTTTAATGATATTGTATTGACAAGTTCATTGATACTGTTTACTGCTGTTTACTAGACTCCAGACTACATGTCCTGTTGGCAAAATATGAATCCATGTGTTGCCAGCTTGGGAACATTGCGATGTCACAGTCAATGTTGGCTGGCCAACAAGATTCAATTTTCAATGACCGTTGACAGGACACCGAACAGCGTAATATGTTCCTGAACATATATGACTCTATGAGACTCTATGACTCTTTGACTATGACTTATATGACCAAGTGAATCTTTATGACTTTATGATATAGCAGAAGTTGGGTGTGTCTTTGGACAGGGACAATACATTTTCCGTCCTGTTGACAAAGCAAGATCAACTAGATGAACCAGAAGAGAAGAGAACCAAATGCGAGGAACAAAACTACATGCAGCAGAATGAATCAGCGTCAATGTATGCAAAAACAAAGTGTATAAGTAAGTAGTTATGACATAACTATTTTCTGGTTGATTCAGAATCATTGGCCATTGGTTTTGAGTCGAACATTCCTTTGGGCGCTGGCGTTTTGGGTCTTTCAATATTAAAGTTCACAACATGATTATATGATGTTATGTTCTGCAAATCAACAATTTGCAACAACATGACCTTCTCATTTTTGAACAATGGAAATAGTTGCAGCTGATGATTACAGAATGTTTTCCATTGGAATATTTGCTAGTGTTATCTCAACTGATCTAGCCTTGCACTGTGCCATAGCTGAGCGTCTACTGGCTGAGTGTCTGTTGTTGGTCATGCCACCCAAAAAGACAGCAGCTAAAGCAAAGGCTGTGGCTAAGAAGCAGCCAAAGCTTCCACCTTCGCCCGCATCCAAACCAAAGGCAAAGGCAAAGGCGAAGCCACCGCCTACGCCTCCCATACCTTCACGGAAGAGAAAGGCATCATCACCGCTATTGAGGGATACCCCACCTGATGCAGACCAGTCGTCAATACAGCAGTTTCTTCGACCAAAGCCACATTCTGATGTACCACCAGCCAAAGCTGTCATGCCACCTCCGAATAGTGTGCCATCCAAGTTGAGCACACCACATGACGCAGGTGTATCACATACACCTATTGCCGTTGCAGCCGCCAAAGCTTTCACACTACCTCCTCCTCACCCTACCGAATCAGCAGATGACCATTCCAGTGACAACTCGAGCTCATCTGATTCGCCAAGAGATGATGCTTCAGTTCCGAAAGCAGCGCCACCACAGCGTGAGTCTGATACGGGGATGACTCATGCCAACAACGCTGAAGGATCCGAGCCAATCATGAAACCTGCAGTAGATGCCAAGACAATGACCAAGACCTCTGTGGCAGATATTTTGGAGGATGCCACAAAAGCTGGTACCAGCAGTGATGAAGTGATCCAGAACAAGCTCGAGTTTCTCAATGACGCCGAGTTTGATGGCTTGCTGGCAGATGCATGCAACCATCCGCTTTTGATTTCTACAGTCATCACCTCCGGTCAGAGAAGATAGTTGACGATGACTGGGAGTTTGGGCATGAAGATGGTGATCCATATGAAGATCTTGCTCATTTCTTGAGATGGCTAGCATCATATGGACCAGACTACATCAATGCAGTTGTGAACACACAGGACAAGCCAGACTCTGCAATGGCAACCACTCAGGCTGCTAAAGAGTCGTTGGAAACAGCTTTGGAGAACATCATGGACATTGAAGAGACGACCAAGAACATTATTTCAGCAGAACCAATAGCAACATCAACTTTGAATGACTTCAAGAAGAATGATGCGCCAGTAGTGACCAGTACCAACACGCAGGAGACGGTTGTTTTGTTTGGTTTTGTGAAATTGAATACATTAGACTAAGACTAAGACCTTAGACTTACACAACAATTCATGATTGATCCATGATGCATTCATTCATTCATTCATTTGATTATGTGTTGTTAAGATTTTGCAGGACAAAAGCCGGATGACGAGACTTACTCAATCAATCAAGACGGTGTGCAATCGTTTGATGAAGGCTTGGTTAGCAATGATTTTCAATCAATGATTAATATATTCATTCATCATTCAAATCCAAGACAATTCACTGATTCACCATCGCTATTGTTGACCAATCAAGCAATTAATTAATGAATTAATCAATTACTTTGTTTCAAATCCCTTGACTGGGAGCGTCGGTAGTGTGTTCGACGGTCAGGAAAATCCAGGCGATCAAGAGCTGGACAAGAGACTGAAGAGACTGGACTTCTGGGCACTCATCCATTGCAGTGATTTGAAAGAGGTTCGGCCGGCAAATGATTTGAATTCATCAACAACTGCAAATGACTTACAGTACAGTTATTTTGAATTGTGTGGTCCAGTCCAGTGTTTGGTTCGTTTGGTTTTGAGAGATTACCTTTGCAGGCCAAGAGGAATATTGATATTGAATTGCGTGGGATACGTGCCGAATACAAGGCCAAAGTTCACACAGTTTGTTCTCAAGTTCACAATGACCAAAACATAGTAACAACCACAACCACAACCATCATCGACAGCAAACAACTGAACTGTTTGTCTAAGTTTTAAGTTTGATAAAAATATATTATAATATATATATATATTATATATCAATGTCATTGGCTGCAGGACAACGCACATGTGGAAGTGGGCATTGATGAAATCTTTGGTATAATGCTACAGGACATGCTAAGTGACTAAGTGACTAAGTGTTGCAAGACATGATATGACCTACTGAACCTCATGGCGCGGCAGGATACAATGGACTATGCGGAAACAGAATCATCAGCCATGACTCCAAACTTCTTGCAGCAGGCAAGGGCATTGCATAATCTTGCGGTCATTCAGAATTCAAAAATCAACATAATCAGCAATGTCATATCTTTTCTTGTTGTCAAGACTCGGAACCATCAGGATACATACCAAGATGGCGACAACGCCAAAGCTCAAGAACACAAACTACATGACAAGAAGGAGAGATTCTTGTCTAGTTGTTTATAGCAGCAAGTCATATTCACAATTGAACAGCTTTGTTTGTGATTGTGATTTATCTATTTTGATTCTGATGTTTTCTAAGCGTTTTGTTTCTTCAGGACAATGGCACAGCTGAAGCAGACACAGAACACAATATCAAGAAGGATCGGTTATCTATACGTTAATTGAATATGCAATGTCAAACGCTACTTGTTTTTTTTGTGCCAGGACCATGCTGACACAGCCGCTGAACAAGACGCAAATCAACATACTGAGAAAGAGCAGGAGAGATTGCTTACTTATATTGGTTTTTCTTACTATTTGTTTTGGATGTCATTGCCAAGATAAGTTTACCGCAACACAATACATTAATCACTAGACTAGACTAAACAAACATTTGTTATTTGTTTGAATTGCCAGGATGATGCTCCAGTCAATCACGATAGTGAACATCATGACGACAAGAAGGAGAGGTTGATTGCAATCTACAACAACAAGTCTTAGTCAATTCATGAACCATTCATTTATGTTATTTAGTCGTTTGTTGTCAGGATGGGGCAACAGCTGAACAACAGAGTGATCAACATGACGTGCGCACACAGGAGAGATTGTCTACCACAAGTATTGGTAATTCAGCTACAAAGACCTGAGACCTAAATCATTTGCATTTTATATCAGGAGACCTTTGATGCAGGGATCAATGAACTACATGCCGAGGATGGGTTGTGTAAAGGTGTATACAGCATAGCAAGTCAAGTCAAGTCTACTAATCCAATATAAGTCTTTTGTTGTCAGGATGAGGCAACAGCTGAACAACACAGTGAAGAACATGACGAGCAGGCGAATGAGAGATTGTCTACGGCAAGTCTTAGTCATTCAGCTACAAAGATCTGAGACCTACATGAACCTTTTTTGTATTCTATGTCAGGAGAGCACTGACAAAGGGATCAATGAACATGATGCCAAGGCTGGGTTGTCTAAAGTTGTTTGCGCAATAACAAATCAAAACATGTTCTCTGAACTCTGAACAGCTTGTGATCTGTAGATATGTGAGTGTAAGTTGTTGTGATCGTGAAATCAATCTCGACAGGGGGCTGGCGACAATGAGAACTGGCTGCACATGAGACGTGGCATCGTGGAATCAGCTGCCCAGGCAATTAACATGTGGACCGAGTCCATCAGTTATGAACCACAAAGAATTTAATCAATTAAATAAATAGTAAATAAATGTTTGATGTGGTACTTCATTTCTGAATGTCAATGCATAAATTGACATCATATTGAATCAATAAATTGCCTTCGTGAACATGCTTGCGCAGGCAATGATAGCGAAAGCCTTGAAGATTTCTGGAACCGCTGACAGGCTTGCGAACATGCCCAATACTATGACCGTGGCTAGTGCATGCACAGGAATTGGTACATTTGAGTTTGCATTTCATGCAATCGTGGATGCCATCAATGATGCTTTGCCCGATCATATCACTGATCAACCAATTTCTGAATTTGTTGCTTCTCAGCTTGTTTGGAGATTGATTCGGAAGCCGGCAGTCGTTGCAATAAACTATTAGTTAAACAGTTAGTTAGTTATTAGTTATTAGTTATTAGTAACTAGTATAGTAAATTTATGTTTTTTTCTTTATTACTGACTCTAATGTTCCTTACTTGACTGTAACACTAACTGACTAACACTATGCCTCTGACTATGACTATGACAGTCACTATCAACTAGTCTAGTCAAGTCTAGTTCTTTGAGATTCTGAGACTTCAAAATGCATATCACGCAAAGGCTGAAGTGGCATTCGTATGTGAGTCGGAGAAGTGGAAACTATTACTGCTTCGTGCAAGTTCTGCTTCGACGGGGAATTGCATGTTTACAGATGTAACATGCATTGCAGACGATGAGATGCGATACTGCAGCCTTCATGGAAACGGCGCAGTGAGTGACTGTGTGACCTGTCCTTCCAATCTATTCTAGTTACAGTACATGTGTGTTGTGTGGTCGAGTCAACATACTCTTTCTCAAAGCTTTGTTATGAAATATGAAGTAGCTTACAAAGTGATTTGTAATTCACTATCTGAGGAGTTGCCACCTCGTGACACACTGCTATCCTTTGCAAGTGGCTTTTCATGCAAGTCGCTTTCCAAGTTGCAGAACGATGTGGCTTCATTTCAACGTGCTATGTCAGAGAGAAATCAGGATCAGCAATTGTGGATGCTGTTGGGTTGCAAACTTCTTCATGATCCATGGTTGTTTGATCAATCGTGTTGCAACCATTCTGGGTCTTCCAAACTCATAGCTAGACTCAACACTATGAATGGTCACTATGACTATGAATATACTACTACTACACGTTTGGCTTTTGATATTTTGATTTGTAAACTTTGTAAAGCTGTAAATACTGCAAAATAGTTGTTTCATTGTGTGATTGATGAGTCGCAGGAAAGCAGCAGTTTCCGTACCTTTGCCGGAACAGTTGATGCGATCAATCGTACACAGCCGCTCATGTTTATTTTGGAGAATGTCGACCTCGGGGATTGCACGGAAGATGATTCCAACGGTGCTGTCATTGCGACCGCCCTTGGAAATGAGGGCTATGCAACACGCCATTTGGTTGCAAGACAGTTATGGCCATTATGGCTGTTTATGGTAAAGCTGTAAAGCTGCATCTGGAAAAGAACATTATCCAATGCAGTCCTATCACCTATCATGTCTAGTGAATATAGTTTAGTTTTGTTATGAAGCGAGTAAGCTATAAGTACTTCTTGGAGCAGTTTGCTTACTTTGCTCAGAGCTTGCACTTATGTTTTTGTTATGTGATATGACATTGATGATTTTTATTGTTAGTGTCTTATGTTCTGAGGTATGATTATGCTGAAGGCAACAGATTTTGGACTACCACAACGCAGAACGAGGTTGTTTATTCTTGGAGTGAACATCCGACGCGCGAATGCAGAGCTCCGAAATACTGCCGATCAGGTGTTGGCTTCAGCTTTGACGGTATATCTTCCCAATCTCAAGCTAAAAGCTCCATCCGTTGTGCCACGTCTCAATTCCATACTGTTTGCAACTTGTGACTTTGGACTTTTGTACTTTAGGTTGCCGATCACGGTCAGAAGCAAAAACAAAATTAGACTAGAGACTAGACTCCAGACTGTAGATTACTGAAGACTGAAGACTGTAGGCTTAGACTATACTTGTGTTATATCATGTGTCTATCATATGTCTTATTATTGATTGATCTCAGGACGACTTTCTACTTCCCAAAACTGATGAGCTCCTGATGGATGAGCTTGAACGACGGCTCAAGAACAAGTCTGACCGCGAGCGCCGCAAAGCAGAACAAATCGATCAAGATGGTGATGCTAGCTTGAACACCAAAGGTGAAAAATGGAAACCAATGCATATGGAAATCGCAACTGGACGTTTCACCCTCAGACTCATTATGATCTGAAACATGGTTTTTGGTTCAATAATAGCTCTCAGCCCAGGTTTAGGTTAGTTCTGTGGCACAACAACTCAGTCACGATGAGATGTCTTTTGAATGTAAGTTTTAATGGCTGTAAAATCATTTGCTGCTACAGGTTCCATGGTATGGCCAATCAAACTGCCACCTTGCTTGACTTCGAACAGCTGGTTTGACAGCCTTCCGGACAGAGAGAAAGAGGTGGGTTGTGGGTTGAGTTGAGATTGATTTAGTATCAACTAACGCAAAGTTTTGAAGACTAGACTGACTGTGACTACGTCTATGTCTATACTGTCTATCTATGACTCTATGACAACTATATGAATGCTTCAACTCAAAAAAACATCATCACTCTTGAAAAGCCAAAACAACATCTAGATTCGACAACCAAACAAACATCAAATGACTCAACATCGCAGATCGTTGGCTTCTTCTATGAGACGAACCAGCGCCGGCGAGAAAACGGATTGGAGCCCTTTCGATTTGCAGATTTGTATCATTCAGCAAATCGAACTCCCACAAGTACAAAGGAGGCACGGTTTTGATTGTTCTTGTTAGGGTTAGGATTCAAGATAGGATGAATGTAGATTCCGATTCGGGTTTGGTCTGATATTGAAAGAATGTTACTTACTAAGGATGACTGACTGTGACTCTGACAATGAACAATAACTTGTCTTGACGGATAGTTCAACAAATGATAGATTTGACTTCAGGTTTGTCAATTTGGTTCTGGAGTTCTTTCTTTTGTGTTGTGTTGTAACTTGTCTATCTCAAAGCCATGACAGGTAGTGCCAACAGTCCTACCTTCGGGAACAGTGTGGGATGACGAGCAAGGCAGGATTCACCTCGGCATTGAACAGCTGCGCTTGCAGGGCACCATGCTAGATGATGCAGCGATTCGATCCCGCAAAGTCTCCAATTCGCAATTTCAGGATCTTGCTGGCAACGCGTGTCTTGACTTACAAAGTGACCAACATGTCAATGACATATGGTAACTATGTATACTACTATAACTATACTACTACTATATACACTGTATACTATGTATTGCATGGTGTACACACATGACTGACACAAAGTCACTAAGCGACTAAGTGACTAAGTGACTAAGTGATTAAATTAAGTACATCACCAGCTGATCATCAGCGTTTGTTATTTAATTTAATGATTCAATTTAATGACATCGTGACATCTTAGTCTTGTGTGAGGTTTCCTTCAACGATTATTGCAGCGCTTCAGATAGCCATGATGTGTTCGCTGGAATTCCCAACGTCAGAAGAAGATGAGCTGTGTACAGACATTGAGCAGCTGGTGACAAAAATCAAATCAAATCACATGTGACGCATGTGACAGTTTCACTGAAAACAAGGTCACGATTGAACTGATGTATGATGTAGCTTTAGCTTTCAAAATCATACATAAACCATGAATCTAAGACTAAGACTAAGACTAAGACCTTTAGTTTATACTACTGAACTTACCATATTTGTGATTTGAGACAACTGATTGCAGATCAACGGTTCAACTGACAGACGGTCGACGTTTCTTTTTTTTTGACCGTCGAGTCGAGTCTTCGAGAACGGATTCAATCGGACCAGACGAATCGAGTGGCTCATGGCACTGACATTAGACCTATGGTCTATGAGGAGGCGCTCATGAATCAATGTCAGAGTCATAATGCCAATCGCCTGACCGAGACTTCACTGACACTGGTGAACCAGCTCGCTGATGAAAACAAGCTGTGAGCCATGAGCCAGCTGATGAGTGAGTCAGCAGATTAGTTTACCCCTTTGGGGTTTGGTTCATGTGTTGTCAGACTCCAAAACGTAAACCATAGTATAGCAGCTGTCTATACAGTCTATACAGTCAGTAGGCCACACAGCGATACCATGGCAATAATATTATAAATACCACAACATACAACAGACAACAAACAACACAATCACAAAGCTGAGATCTCAAGCTGAGATACTGATTCACACCACACAAAGCCGTAAACAGCGCCAACTCCAACCATACTAGTGACCAGTGAACCATACCAACGGTACCAGCAGCGCTGACAAACATATTGTTCAACATATCTTATTATGGAACCAGGCCAACTGTACTAGTGAACCGGAGTGAATCGTACCAATCGTACCAATGAACCGCGCCAATCGTACCAATGAACCGTACCAATCGTACCAATGAACCGTACCAATCGTACCAATGAACCGTACCAATCGTACGTCCTAGCGTACGTACCTAGCGTACCTCTATATCGTACTAGAGCTTTTGTTGAAGTTTCACGCCTATCTTAAAAAAACATAATGTTATAGCAACAAGTTTAGACTCTGCGACCGGAACATTGTCTCCATCTTTGGAGATCGGTTGGACTGCTAGTTTTCCAAACTGGTGAAGACATGTTTTCAGAATTACATGGACATGTTGCATATCCTGCGCTGGCACATGGACTTTGCAGCAACATTGTTTCTGAACTGGGCATTCTTTCCCAAGGATTGCGACAGCAAGGGATTGCGGCTGTCCTTCAAGGGCTTTGACATAATCATGATAGGCTTCTGCATCAATAAACACACCTTCGGGATTCTTCTGCTGTCTAACTTTTCCACGGGGTGAGAATTGACCATCCCACACTGGCTGCGTGGAATGTTTGTTTGTTTCTTTAGTTTTAAATTCGACCGGAGCTGATCCACACTGATGTTGTAAGAGCTGGAAAAAGAATCATCCTCCTGAAGTATGCATATTGGATTCGTGGAATAAACATTGGCAGGATCTTTTTAAATTGCATCTGAGCGAGTGACATGTCGGAAGGCAGACAGTTGCCCTCAGCCGTTCAAACATGTGTCTGATTCATGGACTTGTGCAGTATTTACCCTCAAACCCCCAAGCCTTTGCTCTGCTGGCGCCCAGGTGCCGAGGGGTTCAGTTTACCGTTTGTTGGCTTTGCGACGCTCGTTTTTGAAAAGGCGCCGCAGAATCGGCTGAGGCCGCAAAGGCTAGAGGCTCGTCCATGTGCCACAACCTGTCGTTGTGTGTTTGTTTGAGAGCTGCATGATGGGTTTTTTATATATGCCATGATGCTGACAAACTCCCAGACCAGATGTTGTGAATTTGGAGTATTGGTTTTGTGATGGGTGCCTCTTTTTTGATGTTGTTTGTCATGTTGAGGCCATGGCTGCGCAACTGAAGGAGATCGTGGATCGCCTCAATGCGGAGCCTTTCAACTTGGACTTATCACTGGTGGGTTTCGATGAGAAGGACGGTGAGATGCAAATTGGATGCAGGATTTGTGTGGATTTGTGACCTTCTAATCTGGCAGGACCCATTCGAGCTCATGGAGATTCTCAAGAAGGTCCTCACATTCCTGGACCCAAAGCATGATGTGGACGTGAGAGAGGACTGATGGGCCAAACACCATTTCACAGGGAGCAACTGCTTTTTGCTGCAGCAACTCATCAAATCTTCTTCTCGAATTTCAATGAATTCGAACTGTATCAAACGAAGTGAATCTTCCTTTGCTTCCCGCACACCAGGAGAAGCCGGACGCGACGTACCAGCGCATTTCGGAGTTCTTGCACATCCTTGGGTACCAGTGCCGTGGCGGAGACCACAGGCTATGCTCAAAAAAAAGGGAAAAACAAAGAAGGTAAAAAGAAATTAAAAAGAGAAGACACAAGGTGAGGGCCTTTTCAATTCAATGAGGCCCCCTTCAAAGGGGTCTTATGAAAGGGGCCCTTACCTTCCTTTCTTCCCAAGGTGTTCTTTCGACATCGAGTTTCAGCAAGGTCTGATGTCAGGCGGACCGAACAGTGCAGGATGTGCTGGAACACTAAGAAGCGATCCAAACATGCAGTCCTGACCATGTGCACAGTATATAATCCTCAAAGTTTCACTGTGATATTTGTGCCTTATAGGTGACAAGAACACGATCCACCCAATCTTGTACTGGCTGCTGAACAATCTTGAAGCGCTTCGAGCCTTGCTTGCAACCTCAACGCAGAAAGTGCTAGGTGCTAGCTCAACAGGATCGATGTGCATCCTGTACGACAGCCATCCTTTGACGCCTCATGTTTCATGTCTTCTTGCTTTGTCCCAAGGAAAAAGGGCCTACTTGGCCAAATTCTGCATGAACCTGGAGGTCCGACCGAAGATGTCAATGGACCACGACGTTGTACAATGTTCCACATATGTAAGAAATAGTATGAAATAGTCATCCGTGCGTAGATTGGTTCATTTGTTATCTCATGAAGGGTGGTTGTATGTTTGTTTTTGGGGGTTGTGAACTGTTCGAGGTTCCAGAGGAGTTTCTGCGAGAAGAGCAGGTGGCCGAGGTTTACCGGAGTTACAAGGCCGGAAGAAAGCAACGCCTGAAAACTGGAGTTCGCCTGCCAAAGCAAGGAGCTTCGTAGAACAGAGGAGCTCTCAGAGATTTTGTCTCAGGAGCTGCAGTCTCAGTTTAAAGCGACGCATTCGCACGTCGAGCAGGACAAGAGTATTTCATCGTGTGGCAAACGGGGGAAGGGCAGGTCGCTAGTAGTTTGGAGGTCATCGCTTCTAGGTTGGAGGCCATCGTTCTTAGGGTGGAGGCCATTGCTCTTAGGATGGCAAATGGGGGAAGAGCAGAAGAGGGCGGAGTCGGCAAAAAGGTGCTCAAGTCTTTCGGCAATTTGGCAAAGGAGCGGCAAGGTCGGATGAACCCTTCCGACTTGCAGAGAGAGGTGGGCGCCTTGTCTTCCGGAAACTGGTTGAACATGTGATGATGAATCTGTTTGCGCCATATATTCGATGTGGGGAAACACTGCAGGTACAGCAGCTAGATGCCGAACGAGAGCAGCTGGCGCAAAAGATTCAGCTTCTCAAGGCTCCCAGGGATGATGGCTTTGCAGTGGGCATTTTGAGCTGAGATTCATTCATGTTTGAACACATGTACTGAACGTGCATCAGTGTTTAATTAGTTTGTATAAAACAGGTATTTCTTGCACATCGCAGGCGAATCAGAGGTATTTCTTTGAGCGCAGGCGAAGACCGAGAGAGATGAAGGCTTTGCACAGCTCTTGCAGGCCAAGCGAAACATAATGAGATCGAACAGTGGAGGTCAATGACTATGATGTTAGTTAGCTAGCTAGCTAGTCATATAGTTTATGCATTTTTTTTGTTTGATTGTTTTTTGTTTTTTGATTGATGGTTAGATTTTGTTGTTCTCGTGTTTTTGTTCGTTCGTCTGTTGGTTTTCTTCACTTTTGGATGCCCTGAAGCCCTCGCTTCTTCCATATCCAAGGTCACTTCAATGCTTCGGAAAGAACAAGAAGAGGAAGCGCGCTTGGCAGAGAAACTGCAAGAGCAGAAGTATCAGCCTGGTGCTGAGAATGGCAAGAGTCCTCTCAGGAAATGGACCAGCCAGTACTAAGTAAGTAGAACAATTAGTTACAATGTGTTGAGATCAACACTTGGTAGCTTGGGTCTAGTAGACGTGGAGGTTGGTTGAAGGTGAAGTGGAAGGAAGTGGTTGTAACAAGTGGATCTCCAAGTGGCCAGCAAACGAAGTCCGGCAAGAAGTGGATCGCGCCTTTTCAGCGCTCGGCGTCTCAGGAAGCTAGTCGAGCTTCCACCACATAGCCATATGGCCACGTCGCGCGGCCCGCCCTTAAAGGAAAATGGCCGCAGTGCATATCAATGATCTTTGATCATGATTTCATGGCATGAAATTCTCACAGGGGCGAAGAGAAAAAGTTAGAAACTCGAGGTGTGCGCTCTCTGGTGCACTGCTCAAGTCCAACTGCCCTTCTCAAAATTAAACATTCCAAATTCAAAATGGGTAGGTTTGGCCGGATTCTTCTCGC